CTCCATAACTAGCATTATTTAAGCTTCTGAGTAACTTTTCCTACCTGAACTTATTCTCTTCCTTTAAAAAATGAGGAAAATAGAGGGACTTCTGGTAATATGGCAGACTGAGCTGACCATACTAAGATGTTGGCCAAAATAGAAGAAAAAAGTTTTTATTATGTAGCCGTACTGGGGGAAAAAGAAGGAAGGAGGGAAATATTCAGGCACAAGAAAGAAAGGGAACTCAAAACCAGTTCCCAAGGTTATGGACAAAATACAGGGGTAGGGGCACTGAGGTTTTTCATTCCAGGTAAGGATAGGAGATGTGGGCTCCGACCTGTGAGGTTCAGGGTTGCTGGAGTTAAATCTCCTGGATAAAGAGAGCTGGCACCTGGAAGGGGACTAGAAAATCCATGCCAGCCATCCTTAGACAACAGCAGTGAAGCTTGCTGTTTGACCAAGGGTATTGATAGGAAGAAAAAGACATCCACGAGATATCCCCAAGTCTGGGCCACATACAGGTGTGAGGAGTCTGAACTTATGTTACCAGCATACTGAAGGGCCACAAGTAGAAAAATTAGTATAAAGGTTGGCCTAGACTGCTGAAAGCCCCAGACTCCTGCAGAAACAAAGTCAAGATTTCAGCACAGAGAGGTAAAAATGGAAACTATGAATGAGTAGAGACAAAAGAGAATGAGAAGGTCCAACATTTTTTTTAATGTGCTTTAGATGAAAGTTTACAGAGCAAATTAGTTTCTCATTAAACAATTAATACACATACTGTTTTGTGATATTGGTTGCCAACCCCACAACGTGTCAGCACTCTCCCCTTCTCAACCTTGGGTGAAGGTCCAACATTTGTCCAGTAGAAGTTCCAGCAGGTTTATCTAGAAAGAATAGGTGACAGAAAATAATGGAAGATATAAAGTCTGAGAATTTTCCAGATTTAAATACAGATAGGAATCCTCTAAATGAAGAAACTCATTAAGAAAAGCAAATCTACCTGTAGATATACTGTTTTAAAGCTATAGAGTACCAAAGACAGAGAATCTTTAAAAAAAAAAAAGGTGAAAAAGATTGCTTACAAAAAAAGACCATCAAACTAGCTGCACACTTGTCACCAACCACAATAGATGCCATAGGACAAAGGAATAGGAGTCCTGGGTGGCATAAACAGTTAAGCGCTTGACTTCTAGCCAAAAGCTTGGCAGTTCCAACTCATCCAGAGGCACCTCAGAAGACAGGCATGGAGGTAGGATTCTGAAAGATCACAGCCTTGAAAACCCTATGGAAATATTCTACTCTGACAAACATGGAGTCACCATGAGTCAGAATCAATTGACAGCAACTAACAACAACAAGAGGATATTAAAAGCAAATATACATAAAACATTTGCCATAATGGATGAAATGGACAAAGAAATAATAACTTCAAAATGCCAAAGGAAAATAACTGTCAACTTGGAATTCTGTTGCAGGCTAAATTTTTGCTCAAAGGTGAAGATAAAAATAATGATTTTTTTAAATAATAAAGATTAGAGCAGAAATAAATGAAACAGAGAAACTAGAGAAAATCAACAAAACCAAAAGTTGATTCTTAGAAAAGCTTAATAAAATGGGCAAAACTTTAGCTAGACTGGTAAGAGAAAAAGAAGACTCAAATTGCTAAAATCAGGAATGAAAGGAGACTTTGTCACATTACAGAAAGAAAAAGGATTATAAGGGAATACTGTGAACAACTGTATGCCAACAAATTAGATAATTTAGATGAAATGGACAAATTCCTAGAAGGTCACAAACGACCGAAACTGACTCAAGAAGAAATAGAAAAATTGAATAGACTTATACAAGTAAAGAGGTTGATACAGTAATCAAAAAACTACCCACAAAGAAAAGCCCAAGCCCAGATGGCTTCACTGGTGAATTCTACCAAACATTTAAAGAAGAACGAATACCAATTCTTCACAAACTCTCTAA